GCCAATTTTCTCACGGTTTTGCACAGCAGTCTTTAACCTTCTGGAACTTACTTTGGGGCACAGAGTGTAGGACCGGGCCCCCCTTCACCCTGTGCCCAGGAGGCCCAGCTCTTTCCCAGGCTCTGCCTGGCTCCCGCTGGATGGATCAGCTCCATTTCAGGACCAGCCATGGCCACCGCTGAGAACTGGGTCTCAGTGGAAGAAGCAAGGGGATTATATGGGTCAGTGGTGGCCCCACAGGGAAAGATCAACACCTGGCAGGTCGGTCCTTTGGGACACCTGGTCCTGTGTGGATTTGTGGTTTCTGGGGCTGTGCTTGTCATCCGCGGTGCCATGGCCTCGCCTCCCTCACCATGGTCGCCCCCCCACGTTCCTATAGCCCGGTGTCACCAGCACAGGCCTTGGCCCCTGGAGTTACCACGGGGAAGGCCAGCATGGGGACAAGGATGGCTGGGGCCAAGGCCAGCTCTGTCTTGCCGGGGCTGGGGAGGTAGGCACAGGCCCCCTCCCTCCAGTCGTGCCACATGCCCAGGCTGCTCTAAGTGGGACCAAGCAGAGGTGTCAGGGGACCCCATTGAGCCACCATTGGCAGCCCTACCACTGCGTTCCCACCACTGGCCTCCCTAGTGGCTTCCCAAGTGCTCCTGCCAAGGACCCCACCCCATGCCCAGCTGAACCCAAGCCACACAAGTATTGAATCTGCAGCTCAGCAGGTGGACACTGACACTGAGCTGCCCTGATGGGCCTCCAGGACAACCCACTTCCCTACAGGCCTGTCGGATGCCATGTCCCTTGGGTTGTGGGCCCTGGTGACCCCAAGATCTGCCTAACTTCCCCTGTGGCTCCATCTCCACCCTGAATCCCAACAGGCCTCCAGGGAGCCAACAGCAAGGTCCCCTTTACAGACAGGCCGAGCCCAGGGCTGCTGCTGAAGCTCTTTATTTGGAGTCAGGTGGGGGGAGCGGGGGTGCTGCTGTGGCAGAGGCTGGTCCAGGTGGGGGTGGGGCTCTGTGTCCGGCAGCAGGGCGGGCTCCGGAGGTGCAGCCACGGTGGCTGCTGTGATAGGAAAAGGAACAGAGGTCAGCAAGGCCATGTCGGGAGCAGTGGGCAGGGGCAGGGGCTGCCACAGGAGCCACATTCAGTCACTGCCTGGCCAGGAGGCTCGAGAGCAACCCCGGCCCCTCCATCGAGCGGGCAGGCTGCCGGGCATCCTCGGGGGGGGGGCGGGCTGGGGG